AAAAGTGTAAAATGTGAGGTCTTAATCTATAATGTTAAAATTCATTCACATACATGCAGAACAAGACTCTAACACTACACTGTGTTCTTCAAAATATTTGACACTTCTGATAGTCAGCTATTTTAACTAGTCTCAGCTTGACATTTCTCAGAGCTTCAGACTTTGCTAAGTGACTTGAAATCTTGTGAGGTAACAAACTAAAATTAAAAACTTATTTTTAATTATCGTTCCCTTAAGACACACATAACTAAATCATTAAGGAAGCTTCCATAAGTACACTTTAGCAATACTGCTTTTCTAGTAGAATCTTTCTCTTTATGACTTAAATTATGAATTGAAGATGAATTCATTTTAAAAGTTAAAGGCTTTCCAGTGTTTCCATTATGAAAGTATTTCTTCATTGATTTCACAATATGAAAATGACTATTTGAAAATAAGCACTTTTCCACATACACTGAATAGATGATTTCCGATAATGGTAATAGGTATAGAATACAAGAGTAACATTCAGAACTCACACTAGATACTTTTCACAAAATAATTAAGTAGTAAAATCCATGATGTTCTCTTCTTATAAAGAAATTACTTTCTTGTCTAAGAATTGAGATGGCTAATGTGAGGAGCATTATTATTCAAACAGTAAGTTTAACAGACTAGCAAAGAAAGGTTGACAATTTTTTGGAGTGCAATATGCATGATAAAAATCAAAGAAATTACAGAACTATACTATATATATAATTAAACTGAATATAGTCATTTAGCATCACAGAATGAGAGGACAGAAAACAGGAAAGTAAAAAGAGACACATATTAATCTTGACATATATTTTTCACTATAAACTTGTTGAGGAAATAAAGGATTCCATTAAATTAGAAATGTCTTAAAATAATCATATCGCTTGTGGGGAAAGACAAAGCACTATGAACCAGTTGTCAGGCTCAGAGAGGTAGAAAACATCCATGCCTTTGATCACTCAACTAGGGTGAAGGCAGCGATGATGGAAATTTGAAAACATAGGAACCCAAAGAGACAGAGGAGAATGAATTATCAAATTTTAGCTTTTTGAAGCCAGTTAGCTGAAATTTTCTAAGAGCTTCAATAAACTATTTTACTTACAATCTGATCTCATTCTATAAAACGAGAGAAAAACTCATGTTACCAAAAAATGTATTCTATATACACAATTCATGTAGAAAACCATATATTAGAGGATTAAATGTATAAATATTAAGATTGATGCAGTTACTGTTTTAGTAACTTGAACTGGTTTCTAAAGTAGTCTGCTTGGAAGTTTGCATAGTAACAGAGATCTTTTATTAGATCTTTAAAAAGTGAAAGACTGCAATTTAAATGGTATTTTTTGTTTCTAATGGAAGTTTCTACCTACTTTTATAGTAATATAGCTAGAAGCTCTGGAGAGAGGTTAATGATACAAATAGCAAGCTTCTACAAAGAGTTTTCCTAAAACTCAGTCCGTTTTTTGAGACTTCCCTAATAGCTCAGTTGGTAAAGTATCTGCCTGCAATGCAGAAGACCCTGGTTCAATTCCTGGGTCAGCAAGATCCCCTAGAGAAGGGATAGGCTACCCGCTCCAATATTCTTGGGTTTCCCTGGTGGCTCAGCTGGTAAAGAATCTGCCTGTAATGCAGGAGACCTGTGTTCGATCCCTGGGTTGGGAAGATGCCCCCTCAAGAAGGGAAAGGCTACCCACTCCAGTATTCTGGCCTAGAGAATTCCATGGACTGTATAGTCCCTGGGGTAAAGAGTCAGACACGACTGAGTGACTTTCTTTTAAAATTTTGATTAGCCAATTACAGAGAAAGACATACCAAAAGAAATCTTGAAAATTAAATTGATCAGATTATCAATACAAATTGCTGATGATTATGAAAATTTAATGCAAGTAAAGCAAAAAGTTTCAAATATCTTAAGGCATATTTTTTGGAGAAGAATTTCACATTATCGTTCTAAGCCAAATTTTGCTTTTATATTTTAGTGGACACAAGTCTACAGTGCCCTCAAGGAAGTGTACTAACGTACCAGTAAATTACTTCTACAAAATTAAGTAACTATAACTTCTGCAAGTTACATCTGCAAAAGGTATTAAATAGTATTTCTTAGCCAGTTACTGCTTCTATATTTCATGATTATTAAAGAAAATTAAGTAAATCTTTTGGTGCTACTGTTTATAGCCTGTCTTGAAATAGAGACAGCCATAACTTCTCATTGGTTTAACCTGGAAATTTAATCTATATTATTATTTTAACATTTCCTCTGAAGTTGGTTCTTTAGAGACACAGTTATTTCCTTTATCTCCTTCCAGTTGATCAAAACATTCCCCTCAGATGACCCAAACTTTCTCAGTCAGGGTGACCTACCTTTAGGCCCACCCCCTGCAGTCATATTGAGAATGACATGTCTGTAACTTTATCATATTCAGTCTGTGGATAAGCATCCCAAAGGATGTCACTTACTACTATCCAAGATTGAAAACTTATTTTTAATTTGTTATCCAGCACCAACCATTATTCATCTAGAAGGCTCTAATCATTACTGCTTTCTAAAATTTTTCCTCTCATTGAATTACTAGGATTTTCATCATAGTTTCCAGATGGATTCATTTACATTTTCAAGAAATATAAATCACACTGTATAATTTATTGCCTATGTTTGTAATATAAAGGTATTTGTATGGCATCAAATCATATTTGCATTTGTAGATTTTTTAATTTGTTTAAAACACAAATGACAACAAATTTTTATTATCAGTTGAGACTCTCATATAAATGTTCAAATTATATAACTTAAAACTTTAGAAGAATTTGCATTCTTGATGCTTTGCAATCTCACCTTAAGTTTGATAGACCTTGGAGGTTTCAAAATGCCATGTCAAATTTTTAATTGTAAACACTAGTATGTTTCTTAGATACTGGGGGAGGAACAAGAAAGTTCTAATTGTATAGACTGGCACCAAATATTTCAAAATAATACATAATACCAGCTTTGTCCCCAGAAAAAGATCAGGAAGTTCCCTTATATTATTTTATTCCTCAACTTCTTTTTCCTCTTTGCAGGGTTCTAGTTTCTGGACCAAGAGATCAGGCTAGTACTATGCAAGTTAGATCATTATCATAGATTGTTATGGTCGACCTACCAACATAACTTTAGTTGATTTATTCATCAGTTATTAAACACCAACTGAATGCTATGTTGTTGTTGTTGTTGTTTAGTCTCTAAGTTGCATCCTACTCTTTACAAACTGTAGACTGTAGCCCACTAGGCTCTTCTGTCCCTGGGATTTCCCAGGCAAGAATGCTGAAGTAAGTTGCCATTTCCTTCTCCACGGGATCTTCCCAACCCAGGGATCCAAACCATGGTCTCCTGCTTGGCAGGCAGATTCTATACCACTGAGTCAGCTGTGAAGCAAATGCTATGTACAGCATCCTTAAGGAATGAATGAGAACATTTTTGCTAAGAACATGTCAGATTCCCTCTGGCTGTCTCCTACCACCCTAGACACACTCACAGAGTTAGCAATACCCTATCCCTCCCTATATTGAAAAAATGTGCTCACCAAGAAAAAAATGACATGATTACTGGCCTTCACTGGCTCATTTTCCAGGGAAAGTCTGATATTTAAACCAGTGAATTCTAATATAAAAGAGATAACTGCAAAATACATAGAAGAACTTAGTTCCACCTGATCTGAACTTCAAACAGCTTATTTACAGTGAATTTTTGGAAACACAGTAACTCATGAGATAGGTACTTTGCCTATAAATATCTCACAATATCATACATGAACATTATTTTTACAACCTAACTTGAAGGCTATAGGAATGCCCAAATCATTAAGTGAAGATTAATAAAAATGTCATTAAGTCTGTTTATGATCCTTCTTAGAGGACTGCTGGATAAATATGAAAAGCAATACTTTAATTGTTCACCTTTTTGTTTACAAAATATTAAAGCAGTACATTAGGAGAAGTGGTTTTATTCAGAAGGTAAAGAGTTAAAAATCAGTATGTTATTGCTGAGGTCGACTAGTTTTTATTCTTCTGGTTCTCAGTCATCCATTCTCTACCATTCTTAAGGTTGTTTCTTATCTGATATGCATTCCCAGCCCTGACTAAGGATGTGAACTGTCATTATTTTTAAGCACTTTAGTGCAGTCAAACATTTTAGTTTCCCTGAGGCACCATGCTGTATCAACAGTTCAATAAAGCTGCCAAATGTATTACTTATTCTGAAGGAAAAACAAGTTTAGAAAATATTTAGCCCTTAATATTTTGTGGACTTATATGAAGTGACTCTCCAGTAGGAATAAATGTCAAAAATAGAATCTTTCCTCACAATGTCAAACTCAGTCAAATACAGTATTTTAGGCCACTTGAATGCAGGAATGTTCATTACTATTGGTTAGATTATATTTTATCATGAATGACTTTATTCTAATTTGTTGGTAAAACACAAAAGGACTGAAATTAGTCTCAAACATGAATATCAAACAAAATAAGTAATACATGGCAGACACATCTCTATGCCCCAACTAAAGCACAATCACTAAGTCTTCTACTGATTTATTTAGAACTACCACTTTATTCATTTTGCTACAAAAAAGTTATGTAAACCAAGATTACTCAAGGCCACAGAATGTAAACTACATGTGAAGAGCCTCCAAAGATACACCAAGACATAAATTTAGCAAAAGATGCTTTCTCAAGAATTCTCTCCATTACTTACTTCAGCATGCTAAGGTGACTTAAATTAAGATCTGAGTTAAATTCCAAAGTGAGACTGGGTGTCATTTCTCTAACCTACTTAGGGAAAACATTAACATATACTGAAAGATTGTCCCTAATACCCACTAAAACTCTACAATACACTTAAGGTTACTTAGAAACAATGAGCAAACAAAATCAGAAGGAGAAAAGATTGTTCAAGGACAGTCTTTATCTTTATCATTCATAGTCTATTTACACATTTAAAGCTACAGTTTATGTTTGAAGAACCTGAAGATCCCAGTAACAGGTCTTTTTTTTCTGAAATCATCTCTTCAATTTCTGATGTAAAATTCAGCCATAGTGGTCGATATATGATGACTAAAGACTATTTGTCAGTCAAAATTTGGGACTTAAATATGGAAAACAGGCTTGTGGAAACATACCAGGTGCATGAATACCTCAGAAGTAAACTTTGTTCACTGTATGAAAATGACTGCATATTTGACAAATTTGAATGTTGTTGGAATGGATCTGACAGTGTTGTCATGACTGGATCTTACAATAATTTCTTCAGAATGTTTGACCGGAACACAAAGCGAGACATAACCCTGGAAGCATCACGAGAAAACAATAAACCTCGCACGGTTCTGAAGCCACGCAAAGTGTGTGCAAGTGGCAAGCGAAAGAAAGATGAAATCAGTGTTGACAGCCTAGACTTCAACAAGAAAATACTTCACACAGCCTGGCACCCCAAGGAAAATATCATTGCTGTAGCTACTACAAACAATCTGTATATATTTCAAGACAAAGTGAATTAGGGTTGGCCTTCCTAGCAGAAGAACCCACTTCCTGCTTAGTTGAGATAGTTGAATCTAGCATTCGTACTTAAAAAAAAAGAGAGGTCCATTGTGGCGCCCCTTTTCCAGTGTTTGACAATGTGCCATACGACAACACATTTTCCATAGCTACATGGAGAAAGCTCTGTGGATCCCTCCCTGTGGTGTTCTCCATGTCTGGTAGCCATTTAGGTAAGGGTAGGGCACTTTTAATTTAAATGACTTCTTGCACCATCTTGCCTAATGGACTAGATTGGACTGTGTCAACATTGATTTACTCCACTTTTTATGCCTTCCATTGTGATGACGTCAAACAGAGTGAAAGCCTTCAGTCATGCTTATGGGATTTAATTGTGTATCCTCATTACTGTATCATTTGTGGGGTACACCCCTCCTCCCCTTTTTTAAATTAAATACAGCTCATTCTTACTGTGGCTTGTAGCATTCCTCCTCTCTGGCCTCCTAGATTCTTCCCCTTCATCTCTCTTCCCCTTGCCCCTCCACCCAGTCTTGGTGGTGGTATAAAAAGGAAAGAACGAAAGCACACAGACGAGTCAGTTTGGGGTCAGTGGTAAAGGGGGTACATGTTGCGAACAAATGTTTTAATAACAGTTGGCTGTAATCACTCCTTGCCATGTCTGGCACTGAAAATAAGGAAAAAAAATACTACTACTGAATAAAAGTGACAAAGAATGGAAAAATAAATAAATAAAAATAAAGCTACAGTTTGAAACATAGACTTTATGTCTTCTATATTCATGCAGTTATGAAAATTGTAAAGGAAAATAGCTTATGATTTACTTATGCTCCCCTCTCTAGAAGAGCAAATAAAATTCATTTAAAATTACCATACTGCATTTAATAAGCTATATTGATTATATTTCTTATTCCTTTCAGAGAGATAACAAGGCAGTGAAGAACTACAGGGAAAAATATAGAGAAAAAGGTAGATCAGTGAAGGAAAGGTAGGCACTGCTTCTATCATAGAGGGGCCTGATCAGAACACCTGAGCAGGTATCCAGAAGAGGCAGGAGAGAAGCTCGGAAGCTCAGTGGAACTTGTGACTGACTCTGAGCAAATTTCCATAGACTCTGAGGGCTAGATAGACAAAATGTCAAAATTCAAGCTGCAGATTTCAAAATGTGCCATGAACACCAAGAAGCAAAAATAAAATGACTCATTCCTAGGTACACCATGGCAAAAAAACCAAAAGATATCTTTAAAGCCAGAGAAGAAAGACTCATTAACTCCAAAGAAGAGTCAGTCAATCAGACTTAGAGCTGACTTCCAAGAAGATACAGTAAAAGCGAGAGCATGATGAATATGAAAAAATGCTAACTTCAGAGCACTAAAAGGAAGTAAATACAACTTTCATTTTATATCAAAATAAGGCTTCCAAAAAGGAAAAGAAAAAAACAAAGATATTTCAAACAAAGAAATTCCTATAGATATTTTTTAATCAGTAGTCTACCCCAAAGATGATACTTCAGAAAAAAAGAAACATAGTATTGGTTGAAACTGGTTTTAGTTGCCAAGTTGTGTCTAACTCTGACAACCCCATGGACTGTAGCCCCTCAAGCTTCTCTGTTCATGACTTTCCCTAGGCAAAATACTGGAGTACATTGCCATTTCCTTCTCCAACGGATTTTCCCAGCCCAGGAAATACAGCTATGCAAATGGAATGAAGAATGAAGGAAAAGGTAAAAAGAATATGTGGTTAAATCACAATGTTATTTATGGAATGAAATAATGATCATATGTTGTGGTATTTTAACATGTATAGATAACTACAATACTTGATACAACACACGAGTTGAACAGGCAATAAATGATGTTAAAGAATTTCAAAACTTTTGCACTTTCAAGGTAAAAGCACTCTTTATATTAGACTTTGACTAGTCAAGGAGGTATTTTGTAGTGGGGCAATGACAGTAATAGTCAAAATGCAGCATAAAAATAGCAAGCTACGCAGGGAAGAAGAGTGAAAAAGAATAACAAAAGACTGTTTACAAGACACATACCTAAAAATAGAATCTTTTATTTTCAATTTTTAAAAAGTTTGGACAAATGAAAGAGAAAGATTTGTTAAACGGCTTATAATGGACACTAACAATAATGGAAAGAATTGCTAAAATGCAGTATATTAAAATTAAGAACTTCTATTCATTAAAAGTCACCATTAAGAGAGAAAAGGCAAACTGCAGAATAGGAAAAGCAATTTGTAAAACCTATCATTCATGAAAGGTTTGTATCTGGAATATTTAAATATTTTATCTACAAGGTAAAAAGATTAGCAAACAAATAATTGGCAAGATAATTCAACAAACACAACACAAAATACAATATCCATATGATCACTAGAAATGAAAATATGCTCATACTGTATTGTCTATTATCAATTAAGCATCATCCCTACCCACATTTAATTTCTCTGTATCACAAATGAGAGACCAACAACTATGTTTTCTAAAATCTCCTTTTCCCATGCATCTAGTTTAGCATTTGAGAATAAAAGGCACTTGAATTAGAGTTGAAATGTGGATGAGAAAGCAAAGCCAGAGGACCAGAAGAGTGAGATGAGATGGTATGTACAAGACCTGCCTTGGTAGTTCTTCCAAACACTTCTAGGCATATACCCAACCAGATTCCATGCATATGCACACCAAAACCATGAATGTTTATAGCAGCACTGTACCTAATATCAGAATAATGATGACCCATATGTCCATATATCTATGGAAATGTGTACATGTATCTGGTGCACAGTCATGTCCAACTCTTTGCTACTCCATGAATTGTAGCCCCGCAGGCTCCTCTGTCAATGGGATTTTTCAGGCAAGAAAACTGGAGTGGGTTGCCAATTCTTCTCCAGGGGATCTTCCTGACCCAGGGATCAAACCTGAGTCCCCTGTGTCTACTGCATTGCAGGCCAATTCTTTACCTGGTGAGCCACTGAGGAAATACCCAAATGCCCATCCACTCTACATACTGATTTACCCATAAATGGAATTGCAACAGTAAAAATGAATAAAATATAGATGCATGCACCAACAAGTGGTGAATCCCAAGATAAATACATTTAAAACCAAGACTACTTCTTTTAACTTCTTTTTTTCTTCTGTCTGATTTAAGTAATTTTTCTGGTATAAAGATGTAATGAAACAGCAACCAAGAGGAAAATAAGAAACTCAAGGCTCTTTTTTATTCCTTTGTATTTTTATACTCCACATCCATTCTGCAAATACCACCCAGTCTAATAAAAATAGGTAAAATATATTAAATATGCTTACGTGCCCGTCTCTACATTAACAACTGTGTGATAAAATCTCACTTGATCCTGATAGTGTTTCTATAAGGTTAAGAGCTATTATTTCCTTACTCTGATCTGGAAACTGAGGCACAGCAAGTTGAAGTAACTTGTTAAATGTCATGGCTAGGAAGTCCTGAAGCCAGAATTTAAACCGAACTGTCTGATCTGAGAGACTATGCTGTTAACTACCCCTGCTAGCTCTGGAATACTCCTCAAAATCTACATGCCCACTCATCACCCAATGCAATCTGCCTCCAAAAGCCTTTTTACTCCTTGTCTCCCTCCCATTGTCTTCCTGAGCTTCCTGAGACCTTTCTGAGTATTTTTACTAATTGTCATCTGTCCTACTGTTCTCTTCTAAACCTTAAATGGGGGCAGTATTATTAGGAATTAATAAAACGTGTTGTACTTTGTTCAAAAATTATTTTGATTTGAACTATATCATTTCATCCAGTCAGGTTAATTGTATTGGATGGAATAGGTGCTTGGGGAAAAAATCAGCTTTAGTAAATATATTTACCAGTATATTTAGCTTTTTAAAAACTGCTTTCTTATTTCTTCCTTGAAGCCTAAAGCACATCAACTGTGTGTCCTACTAGATTAAAATAATTGACCCTTATAATTATACTTTCTTCTTTATGTTTTTAACTCATTTACTTCTGAGAAGACTGGAGAGGGTTGTCACATTAAAACCTGTTATGCAGTGGGACAGAGACCAGGAGAAAAGACCTTCCTCTGCTTCTGCTGCAGCTGATGCTGAGCATACTCTCAGCAGTGTAGCAGTCTAGACAAATAAAGTGTTGCATCAGTATTCTTTCACTATTCTTTCAGCATGAATGCACCAGGACTTAATGTCACAGGCTCCATATTCCTAGGTGGGATTCCTCAGCTTACAGGTATGAATGTGCAGTGAAAACACTGCAGTAAAAAGCCAGTAGTGGCCTAACTTACTGTTCTCTTGGGCCAGTTGACTCTGCATTGCCTGCAGAAGCAGACCGGAGAATAAACCCTATTTGGCAATATTGCTGAATACGCTCTTTACCTTCTGGCCCCTAACCTGCCTCTGGGCACTTCCTCCACCCCATGCTGCACTGCCACTTCCTCTTCAGCCTGGAAGACAACAATAACCTCCTAACTGGTCTCCCTATTACCCATCTACAGTCAGTTCTCCTTGAGATAGGCAGGCTTATCCTTCAAAAGCATAAACCTCATGCAAAAACAGTTTTTGCATCAGATATTGTTATGATTTTCTCTCTTACTTCTCTCCAGAGAGGCTTCCCTTAGTTTGCACAGCTAATAAAACATCCCTCATTATTCCCCATGCCCTTGCCCCACACTATTTTACCATCTAGCACTTATCTCATCCAACATTATATTATCTAACTGGTGATGTTTTTATAGCCTTCCTTCCTATTTACTATCTTAGAAGGAGCTCTGTTTCTATTTAGTATTTCTATTTAGTAATTCCAAGCCTCTAGGATGGTGCATGCCACAGAGAAGGTACACAATAAAGTGAATGAATGAACAATAAATATATGATGACACAAGTGACCCACTTAAAAATGATGCTATTGTCCTTTAGACAAAGGTATTCTAGTTATTCATGAAGAAGCTTCACCTACTGTGTAAAGTCTGTACACAGCCTTCTTTCTTACAAGAAAAAAGTGGATTT